GGGGAGACAGGGGGGAGGGAAGGGGAGTCAGAGTATTACACTGACAGTGTCTCTTAGCTGTCATCACCTTGTTTGTCCTGTTGATTCATGTTTTAAGGTATCTCTCTCTCAAATTAAATTGAAGGCAACTGGACTTGTATTTGTCTGTGGAAGACGTTTGTCAGACTAGTGCGGACTAGAGAGACCAATACAGATGAGAACTGATGAAGCCGCTTGGATAAGAGGCGAAACGTCTTCCACAGACAAATACAAGTCCTTCAATTTAATTTGAGAGAGAGATAACAATGACCTGGACGAATGAACAAGCTGTCAAATGTCAAAAGTATATTTTTGGCCATATTTTAAATAAGCCACATGCCAACAAAACCTCAAATATGCAACTGGAAATATATGAAGAATAACATATATTTAATCATACCATAACTCTAATGGTCTGTCTCAATGTTCTTATCAGTCTCCACTATATAATAGAAAGTTCAGAAAATATACTGATAAGTGCCTTGAGAATGGTTCATTAAGTCATTTAAACATTTATAAGAAAACGGTCAAATTACTGACGCTGAGCCTCCATCTCATTCCAGCGGTTTTGTGCCTCTTAAATTAAGACCATGTTTGGAGTAAACACCAATACTTACTGATGAAATAAAGATGTTGCTACTTGTCCTTGTCTTCAGGCACAACAAATGACAGACATGTTTGAAAGGATTTTTCCATCTGACATTCTCTGGTTGCATCACATTCAACTGCCAAAAAATTCTGAAATATTATCTGAGTTTTCTGTTTTTTGTCCCATAAAATAAAATAGTAGCTTTCTAACAAAAATCTGATACAGTTGAATGTGAGATGCCGTATGGAGGCCAGAGGCTGCCAGTGGTGTTGTGATTCTTTTCTTCTTTGTCATAATTAATTATTATTAACATCAACATTAACATTAACTGATTATACAACCTTCAAGTTCAAATGTTCAAAGTCAGAAGAAGTCTGTGTTGCATCATGTTGATTATGAATAAACCAAACCAAACGTTTTTGTTCACTGTGATGAAAAATAAAAGTAATTTGGACTATGGAACCAAACACATTAAAGCAACATACATTTTGTTTGCAGCAATAAAAGTTTATATAAAATTTATTGTGCAGAACGTTTCCAAAGACAAAGAGATGCAAGGTTTTTATTACAAATAAAATGGGAAAGGGAGGACAGGATTTCACAAATGAGTGACTGGTGATTGAAGTTGTTCTTGTTGGAGTGAAGAGCTCTCAGCTGATGACTGGTCAAGGACACAGATGTGGGAAAGCAGCAGAAGAGGCAGAGTGAGTGTTGAAGAGTTGAATGAATTAATGTGTAAAACACCAGCCATTGTCCTGGTGAATGTGTGTTCCCTGTGTTTCTCAAAAGAAGTGGAAACTGGAATTGAGCTGAGAGAGGGAAATCTTCTTTAACCACGAGGAGCTGGGCTGATTGAACAAAATGAATTTCTTTTGCTGTAATTCTCTCTGTAAATTCCTCAGTGTCATTTCCAATCACAGACATTACTCTGGGTTTGTTCTTAAAAATCCCACAACTCACCTCCCAAACACTTGAACAATGTACTTCAGTCTGAAAGGAGAGCCATGCTTCTCAGAGGTCCCTGGTACTGTGTGATTGGATCGTACTGTCTGAGTGAAAGACCTTCTCTGCGCCTCACTAAACCCTCCAGGGGCTGAGTTATGCTCTTCAAGCTGTCAGAGGAGATGAAACGTAAGACCACTTACCAGCATCTTGACATTGCGTCACTTTGACAAATCAGACTGCTGCTCGTTGAGTGGTGATTGGGAATGGCAGGGCAGAAGTTCATGAATTCACAATGTGGGAGGCAGGACAGAAATAGTGGATGGAGAACAATGTAGAGACAGCTGGTGTGTTTGTGTATGTGCCTGAGGGTTCATTAATGTTTCATCTTTCTTGGCTGAGAGAGTAGAAACCCAGATGATGGAGCTGACATGAGTAGAGACACAGTAAAGGACAAAGCGACTCAAGAACAGTGGTGTACTGGACCTGTCGACCGTTGGACCGCTGGACCTGTTTTTACTGGCCCTCATTGGTTACCGTGGTTACCATGAATAATTCTCAAATTGCAATTTAAAGCGAGGCTACATCACTTGAAGTGAACAGCAGCCAATAGTAATTATAGGAAATTGAATTCCCCTACATACAGTCTTGAGCCAGTTACTGTAATAAATCCTTTCGAACAATAAACATTTTGACTTGTCATGGCAGGAAAAGCTTTGATTTGACATTAATATGAATCATGACTCTGTTCTATTCTACTGTTTTTTTCTAGTGATGTTTTAACAGGTAACTCCTCTGAGACTGAGAGAGAGTGAGAGTGAGTTCAATGCAAGAAACAACAATGCGTGTACAGAACAGTGTATTTGATTCTAGTTTAGAAACAGTTTATCTGTCACACATTCACATATAAAACAACGCAGCACCAGAGGAATATGACCAGCATTAGCAAACACTAGCTAACATTTGCCAACGTTCAAAGCAGACACAGACCACATTACTGCATTACTAATTATTATATCATTGGTATGATAAAGAATGGACTATCTCCAAGTAAAACACACAAATGAAGATAGATCTTTATAATCATAAAAAACAACTGTTTGGTTCTCCTTCAGGTTTCAGTCCAATGTTTTTCAAAAAGCTTGAATGAGCTTTGCATAATTAGAACTGCAGCAATAACGAACATCAAACACAGAGACTCTACGTCGACTGGAAAAAAGAAATCAATGAGAAAAAGACTTTAGCAGCAGCTGCTGTGAGAAGGAGAGATCCTGATCCAGTTTCCACACTAACTCAGACACTAATTCTTCT